AATAAATGTGTAGATGTGTTAGCTAATGTTGATTTCATTCTTGATTTGGAGCATATAATTTTCGACTCAGATCTTATGACAATAATTAAGTTACTAGAAGATGATAAGAGAGATGTAACGACTCTGATGGTGGTTTTTTTCTTAGTTGTCATTTTTCTTTATACCCTCTTTTGTAGCAAAAAATTGTATCTTGTGCTAAGCAAAACTTAGTGACCACTCTAATGCTAATAGTGGAATTTTTATTTTTATATACAATTACTTGATCTTTATGTCCACTAGTGCAGGAACTACATTTTATATCGGGCGAAAAGTATCTTTTACACCGGGTCTGGGTTCGATGTAAATCCAAGCGATATAGTAAATCAAAGATATTTTACATCGGGCTACAGTCCGATGTGAAAAATCTACCTACTACATCGGTTGGATATTAGATCTGATGTAAAAAAAATTAAAATAATAATAATAAATGCAAGATTTTACATCGGTTGCTTAGCTGGACCGATATAATAAATTGTTTTTTACATCGGTTTTTATCAATAGGCCCGATGTAATATATTTGCAATATTCAACTGATTCAGGTGCATTACCAGAATTTATTTATTTATACCTAATTTTTCATATTTTTCCAACATCACAAGATCACATTTAGGTCACTTTTTTTTCTTCATATTTTTACCACATAACACTGACCATATTTAGGTCGCTAATTTCATATTTTTCTAACCAATGAAGGGTAATTTCATTGCACCAAATAGCTAAGATGCACACACACACACACACACACACACACACACACACACACACACACACACACACGCACACACACACACACACTCACACTCACACATACACACACACACACACACACACACACACACACACACACACACACACACACACGCATATATATATTCTTCAAAATGAACAATTGAGTTATAAAAGTACTAATCTAGGTTACACACAAGTGTATAAAATTATAAGGAAGTTTACACAGGTTGAATTACTACAACAACAAAACCAATGAAATTATACAGAAATATCCACACTTGAAATACCAACATGCAATCCACAAGAAGATGAGTTGTAGCTTCAGTAGACAACAACAAGCAAAAAAAATTTTATTACCTGCATCCAAGAAAAATAAATAAGATTCACCTCGCATATAATTGCCCCATCAACATATTTGGCAGGTATATCATCCAGAATATCCCCAGGCAAGTGACCTGACTCGATCGCCTCCAAACACACAATGACAAAGAAATAGGAAAGTAAGTACATGAAACACATAACATATATACAGAGAAAACAAAAATAATAAAATTAAAAACTTAAGAAAACATAAGGTGGTGATTTAGACAAGGAATTAAATTTAAAGCAACACAAGGAAATGACGCAGAGAAAAGCATTGTTTTTTTTTTGTCCTATTCATGTTTCCGTTTTTAGGTACATAATGTATGTACGAAGGTGGAAACAAGTAACTTAAACCCAGTAGCATCCAACTCAAACAATGGAATTATACCATTCTTTTAAGACTAATTGAATCATGCCAAAAATCTTGAAAACACAATATGAGACTTTCCATTTATAGCAATGCTTATATAAATGTACAAAGTGTTGAATTCCCCTCAGGATTTAGGGCATAACTCAACTATGCAAGAACGTAAGTTGAGGATTGTCTAAGCTACATAAACTTTATCCAGTTCATATCTCTAGCAAATGTGGGACTTGGGTTTTGACCAACAGTCTCACTCAATAACTGTGAGGTTTTAGAACAGAAAAGTCAAAACTGAAAAAGAAAAAAATAACATTCAAAATTTTTCAAGAGAATTACCAAGAAAAGGGTTTCAGATGACCTATCATATGGAAGTAACAGCTTCGGAAATGACTGATTCGCCGCACCATTCTGAAAATTCATAAATTACATATCTTAGAAAATAGGCTGGTAGAACTAAAACACCACACAATCTAAGAAAACATTAACAGTAGTTTTAGGCAAACCTCAGAGGGTTTTCCAATAGAATAACCATCCGGGAACAAATTCAATGTAAACGAAGCTTCCATATCTGTCAAAACAACCACCACAACACTCAGAATTGAATTTCTTTATACAGAAGTAAAGTAACCAATAAACTCTGATGACTCACTGACCTGCTAATAAAACAGTTTCAGAAAAAACGGATGCACTCGGCCTTCCAATAATGTTTTCACCTGCCTCAACAAGATCACTTTATATATAAACAAAAATAAAAACTCAAAGCAATTAATAAAAGTCACTTTAAAAAGTCACTTAAAATTCTATAACATTGAGCAATTCCTTCATTGTATTGATAATTCAATTGAATCTAGTCAAATTACATACAACAGTGTACAAGTTAAAAAATAAAACACACAAAGCTTTCATCTTTTTATATTATTTGAATTATTTCCTATTTAGATCACCTAAAACAAGACACACAAACAGAAACACGATATATAATAAACATAACGATAAAAAATACAAACTTTGAAACGAGGGAGACGACGTCAGAGGCGGAGGGAGAAGGAGGGACACAAATGTCATATGAGACGGAGGCCATAGACGACGACGGAGGCAGACAGAGGTCGTATGATGGTGGAAACGGAATGCAGACGACGTCAGAGGCGGAGGTAGACAGAGGGAGATGGATGTCGTATGAGACAGAAGGAGACGCAGTCGGTCGAGAGAGATGAAGGCGCGCGGTGAAATGAATATTTGATTAGGATGTTAGGGTTTTGTGAAATAAGAGGGTTTTTTTACATCGGTTGGGCAATGGGCCCGATGTAATGGTCAATATGTTACATCCGTTGGGCCTTAAACCAATGTAAAGTCCACTTTTTTATAATAAAAACGTATCTTATTTACAAAACTGCCTCCGTGTTTTTATTTTTTTATCATTGGACCTTTTACATCGGGGATAAGTAAAGACCCGATGTAAAATCCTTTTTAAAAATTTTCATTTTATTTACCAAACTACCACCTTGTTATATTTTTCTCTAAATCACATGTTTTTCATATCATGAGAAATAAAAATCTGATATAAAATCTTTTGACAAATATTTTTCACATTATATATTTTTATACCTGATGTAAAGACTTTTTTTCAAATATCATATTTTTAGGAGGAATCGTTTTACATTTTCCAATTTCTATTTTAACAATTTCATAGGTTATTGAGTCAAGCATTCAATTAAATTGTAATGGAATTGTCCCCAAAACCGTACAATAGGGCCCGTAAATACTCATATGAATGTTAGTACATTACATCAGTTTATTTTTTGGAGCAATTATGAATTTCAAACCAGTTGCTTTAAGTTGCAGGAAATGCAGGGCTAATTTGCAAAGACTAATAATTTAATATCTCTGTTTTTTATTATAAATCATTTTTTATTTTTCACACATATTAATAAAATTGATAATTATTTTATAAAAACGAGAAATTATGAAATTTTTTATAAAATTGTTTTTTATTAATGATACGTAGAAGATAAATTTGTATAATTGAAAGGAGAGAGAATAATAAATATTTAAAAATATAATAGAAAAATATCATTAATTATTCATTAAAATTGTAAAATAATTTATATTATAATACAAAACTTTTTTCCAAAACAAATTATAATAAAAAACAGAAATAATATAATTTTAGTTTCTTTTCAAAAAAAAAACTCAAATGTATTTTGACCTCTTTATTATAAAAAAATTAACTAATAATATTTTGTCTATTTTTAATATTCTGTCATTTTTTTCTAAAAGTAGTCTAGTAATGAAACTTATTTATAATAAAAAACGGAAATAATATAATTTTAGTTTCTTTTCAAAAAAAAACTCAAATGTATTTTGACCTCTTTATTATAAAAAAATTAACTAATAATATTTTATTTTTAATATTCTGTCTTTTTTTCTAAAAGCAGTCTAGTAATGAAACTTATCCTTATAAAGGTAATGGTGTTGTGCGATTTGAATTGATTTTAAAATAAAAAATATCTGATTTAAAGATAAATTTATTTACAATTCAGTTTAATTTTAAATAATTAAATATAAATTTAATTTCATCCAATCCGATTTTATACTATTTAATTTAAATTGAGTTTTGAATATCTAAACAAATTAAAATTATAAAAATGTTAAATTAATAATAGATACATAATATATGTATATAAAAAATTAATATTAAAAATAAAATAATCAATTATTATTGAAACAAGCAAAATAATAAAAATAAATAAATTAAATTAAACTAGTAAATAATATTAAAAAATAAATACTATTGAATAATAAACTAACACTATATATATATATATATATATATAAATAGTTTTTAATTATTTAATCAAATAGTTTTCATAAAATAATATTCAAACACATTCAATTATTTATTTATTTATTTTCACGATTTTCAATTTTTTGAATCTATTTATTATTTTTATTTAGATTAGTTTAAATTTATATACCTCTATTTAAGAGTTGATAAGTGAAATATCACATATTTAAATTCACTTTGCATATTTAATATTGAGAAGAAAAAAATATTAATAATATAAATTAATTTTACACCATTAATCAAATTATCATGTATTATGTTAAATTACATTAATATTTTTAAATTAATCGTATAATATAATTATATAATAAATTTCTATTAGATGACCATTTTAAACTATTTTATATGGTAGTACACTATCTTTAATCTCTAATATTTATACAGAACTTATCAACTTAGCAAGTTTAACATAATTTAATTATTATTATTATGTCATTTTTTACTAGTATAGTATCTCAAGCATATCAAAGACAAAGAGTGTATATATTGGGATCGGCTGTTTTGATTCTTCTGATTCGTAGCAGGAGCCTCACACTGTAACTTATTGTACACAAAAAATAAAAATCAAAACTCATAAATAAAAAAACTTATAATAAATTCAATACCGTGGGTCCCACACTACCACTTGCTTCTATCGAAAATCGAATTAGTCCCAATCCAATGAATCACGCGCCACAGCCCTTTATAAATACTCTTCCAAATTCTTCACCCTTTTCACTTTCCCCTTCAATTCCAATTCCTCCAAAACAGAACGGAAAAGCGTAAGTTACAATTCTACCCTCGCCGCAACCGCCAACCGCATCGCCGGCGGCGGAATATGATCGTCAGAGAATCGACTATTACAATAAAAAGAGTATGGTTCGTTGCTTCACTTTAGGTTCCGTTTTGATTCTGATCGCGATTGCTGCTTCCATGGTTGTTTTACCGTTGATGCTTCCGCCGCTTCCTCCGCCGCCGCTGGTTCTTCTTTTCTTTCCCGTAGGGATTATGGCTGCGCTTGTAGTGCTCGCTTTCTCGCCGTCGGAAAACGTTAAAAACCTTAAGAACGTTAAAAACGTCGTCGTTTACTCGTCGTAGGGATTCGTGAAATCGGTGGATTTGGATCTGTGCTGCATTTTCACTTTCTGGAATGTTCGGATCGGGTTCCGGATTCGGTTCCTTCGTTCGGAAGATTGATTTATTACTTTTCTTTTTCGTTTTTTTTTTTAAATTTTTCTAATTTCTGATAATTTTTTGTTACGGTTGTTGATATGAAAGAAAATGTATAACGGAAAATAAAAAGGGAAATGGTAGTAGTAATGAAAGATTCATTGTATTATTTCGGCTTAGACAATTATTATATCATTATTATTATCTATTATTATTTGTTGTTTTGGTAAAACTCGCAAAGTTTTTCTTCTAGAAATTTAATATTACAGAGGTTGAATTTGAACTCAATTTCTGAATAATTTATCATCTCAATCGAGTTTATTGTTGTTGATTTGATTTATGATTATACGTTTACTTGTTGAAGATTAATTTAAAATAATTTCTGATTAATTTTTGCGAGTTTTGGTATTTCCGTAACTGCCGACCGGCTGCTAATACTATTATAATATAGAAAAATATGTATTTGAAATTATATATTCTTCTAAGAGAAGTTTAAATCACTTTTTTGGATAAAGACTTGGTATTGAAATTATGCTGACTAGGGAATATTTTGGATATTAAGAAACTTCAGAATGGCAAAAACCTTTATACTATTGGTCTTTTAATTGTTTTTAGTGTTATATTGGTTTTTAACTTTTAAAATATTTTATTTTAATTTTTTTATTTAAATAACGATAAATAATTAAATGAAAATATTTTAAAAATAAAGGGATTAATATGACAAAAAAAACAATTAAAAAATTTATATGATTCTAAGGATATAATTAAGGATTCACATTTTTGAAATTACTTACATTAATTAATTTCATAATTATGTGTGTGGTTTAATGGTTAAACATCTTTCTCTCAAGAACTCTCGGTTCAAATTATGTTGGATACAAATTGTTTATTAAAAAAAAATTGATTTAAAAAATTAAAATGTACCAGTCTTATATTTTAAAGACATAACAAGTATATTCATTAATTTTAAAATGTTATATTTACTATGAATTTTGTTAAATCACGTTTATATTCTAAAGACATGGTAAGTATATTCATTAATTTTAAAATGTTATATCTTCTATTTATCACGTCAAATCACACATATATTTTAAAGATGTGGAAAATATATCAATTAATCTCAAAATATCATTAAAAAAATATTATATCGACCATATATTTTATTAAATCATATATATATTTTACAAACCTGACACGCATATACTTTAATCTTAAAATGTCATATATTCTGATCTGACCTGATCAGAAATGGACCGTCACGGCTGACTCCGAGCAGAAAGCTTTTTTGAACGAGGTGGGGGGTACCTGCAAGGCACTCCGATGCTGAAGTAAGTAGGAGTACGAGCAGATAATAGCAAGTTTTAGGTTAGAATGATGAATACCTGGCCCTCTGGAAACAGAGGGTATTTATAGCCCCCAGCGCTGGGCCAAGGTTCCTTCATTGGGCCGGGCAGGTTTGGCCCAATGGAGGAACTGCCAGGTTCTACGTGCGTAGTGGGGACCCGCACGTGGTCCCCTCCCTGAATGTTCTGCGTGAAGTGCGGGCGGACGGAGACGCGGTCTTTTCGGAGTATCGTTGGGGGGACAGTGGACTGAGTCTGCCCTAGCTGGGGTGCTCGAGGTAACGTCGAGCTGGGCCTCAGACTGTGGTGCTGGACCACCTCATGTCGAGCTGGCGGCGTATCGTCGAGCCAGTGCTTGCGCGTCGGGCACGACCTCACTCTTTGGTCGGTGAGGCCCCTGTAAGTCCATTTGGACTGGGGCTTTGCAATGCTTTCGGGCCCAGTCCAGAACAGGAGCCCCCCAAGTCGTGGTTCCTTTGTGAGGAGCCATGACTTGAACTCAGGTCGCTTCCTCATCGAGGTCTCGTGCCCGGGACAACGGTGCGGGCCCTCGAGGCCTCCTCGTGTAGTGCTCGGAGACACCTTCCGCGGTGGATGCCTGGAGGATCCTTACCGGGCGCGTCTGTCGAGCATACGAGGTATCTTTCGGGAACTGTGCCGCCACCCTATGGGGATAGGGTCATCATTGCGTTGGGGGCAGCGCGTCGAGGAGAGGGAGTCCGTGTTTGCCCGAGGTGACGTTTGGTATTCCACGTCATCACTATAAATAGGAACCTTGGGCCCCATAACACGTTTCTACACTCTGTGCTCTCTCTGCTGCTGCTCTTCCAGATTTTTTCCAGTTGCGACTTTCTGTCATAGATTCTTCTACTCTGTAGCCAACTCCTACTCTTTGATTCAAGTAAGTGGTCTATCCTCTTCATTTTCTTGTTAGAATGCATGTTTTCTGGCGTTTTGTAGATGTTTTAGGGTCGTGCGCGTGGGATTAGCCCAGTAGACTTATACTTAGCCCGGCAAATTCATGCCTTGGACCGGCAAACGCATGTTTGTGGCCGGCGTATTCATAGTTTTAGGTGATAAACTCCAGCGATGCCCGGGGTCTTCATGATCCAGGGCGCCTGATGCATGATCGCGCCCGGCATGTTCATGGCCTTGGCCGTGGGCCTCATGGTGTGGCCCGACATGTTCATACCTTGGGTCGACATGTTGGAGAGTGACCGCGTAGTTGGTCTTGAGGAAGAACACATCGAGTTTCAGTATGTCGGGGAGGCCACCATTCGTGGAACCGGACTACGTGGTCGTGATGGAACGACGTGATTTGTCGAGCGTATGGCTTCGTGCTCATTTGACTGGTTTTCCGTGCTCTGCAGGTAACCATGGCGGACGAGCCGAGCTCCTCCGGACGTCACGATCGCGAAGAACAAAGCGCCGACGAGTCGGTCAATCTGATTGATACTGTGACCGACCCTTTGCTGGATTGGGTGGGCGTCGAGCCCCGAGGGATCGCGTCGGTCTACAGTCGGGGCGACCGGGATCCGTATGCTGTCATTGAAGCGGGCCAGGGTCAGCCCGACTTCCAAAAGAACTTCGTAGTCATGCGCCCGTCATCCCGTGCAAGGATCTGCTCGGTTTATCCGGAATATAGCTTCGCGATGTATGAGATCGCGTTCAAAGATCTAGGGCTGCGGCTGCCCTTCACTGACTTCCAGGCCGGGGTCTTCACTCACCTGGAGCTGGCCCCGTCCCAGCTACATCCAAACTCGCTCGCCTTCATCCGGGCGTTTGAGTTGACGTGTCGCTACCTGAGGATCGTGGCGACTATACCGCTCTTCTTCCGGATTTTTCACCTGCAGCGCCAATCCCGAGGAGGGAAACATAGCTGGGTCTCCCTGAAGCAGTCGAGGAGACTCTTCAAAATGTACATGGACTCCGTGAGGGGTTTTAAAGACAAGTGGTACGTGGTGCGGCCAGTTACCACCTCTGCTTTAAATTCTCTTTTCGAGGAGGAGGAGCCGCTGAGCGACGAGGACGGGGAGGCAGTTCTGGGCGACGATGGGAACCCTGTGTTGGGACGTACGGCTAAAGTCCCCGTGCACTGGATGTCCCGGCATTACGAGCATGGGACTGGTTATTACCATACCGCCGTCGGGGACATGTGCGCGGAAGATGAGGAGGCGTACGCCGCACTTTGCCGATTTGTCGATAGCTTTCATCCTGCCCGGTGGGTTACGCGGGAAGGGGATGATATCTTGGACAAAGATGGTTACCCAACGTTCGAGTCCCGTCCGATTGATACCAAGGCGCTCGTGGAGTGCCCGACGTACAGGCAGGCTGCCCGCCTGTTAGGTTGTTTATTGCTTGAATTTCTTTGCTCATCATTTGTCTATGAGTTTGCTCGATACTGACCTAACTTTATTTTGTGCAGGTTCGATGGCTGGTCGACATGAAAGGCTCTTGAAATTATCCTGCGACCAGAGGCGAGGCAGGAGGGTCGTGAAGGCCCCACAAGCGACGAGGATGGGCCCACCACACAGTCCAAATTCTCCTCAACCGGTGAGGGTGGACTCGCCGTCAAGCTCGGGGGCCGCGTCGGATGGGACCCCTGAAGTTGAAGAGATCGACCCTAGTGCCGTCTTGATACAGAGGAAGAGGACCCGTGTGGAGAGTGGTCCGACTGCTGGCGAGGACGCCGGTGCCGTTAAATCTTTCGCCTTCCCCCCTTGCTTCGAAGAGGCAGGCTTTTTCGAGAGATTCCCTCCGACAGTGGTTGCCCACGAAGCTGCAGCCATAAAAAAGATGAGTAAAGAGGACCGGAAGGCGTATCTAGCCGCCAGCATGGACGGGCTGGTAAAAATGGCTGAGATGGCTTTGGTGCTATCCGAGGACGGAGGGGATCCTGCCCGTGTTGAAGAACTAGAGCAGGAGAAGGCGGCCCTGACCTCGAGCTCGCGGAAGTTGAAGATCGCTCTGGAACGCTCCGAGGAGATGTTCCGCGAGCAGACGGCGATGCTCGATGCTGAGAGGGAGATGTTGACCCTGGAGAAGGAGAAGTCGGGGAAGTTGGCCGAGGAGGGGGAGCTTCTTCGGGCAGACAGGGATCGTCTGGGGGCCAAAGTCGAACGCTTGGCCCAGCAGATCGAGGAAATGAACGCTGCCATGCAGCCTGCCGAGGACGAGCCCGAGGACATAATGGCTTTGAAGAGTCGGTTGGAGCTGGTCGCCCATATCCGGCTCCTCGAGGCAGATTGCGTCGGTGCCCTGGAGGATGGGTTCAACTCTGCGGTCGGTCAACTCTCCTTGCTAAACCCTGGCCTGGTCACTGAGGGTATCGGCCACACACATCAGATCGTGGATGGCGTGATCGTTCCTTCGCCCGACTCTCCAAGCGCCGACAATGATGGTTCTGGGGAGACTTGACTAGGATAGCGGGCCTGCGTGCCCTTGACATTTGTATTCTTTGGGCCTGCGTGCCCGTTTGTTGTACTTTATGAACATCGCCGGCCTTCTTGGTCGGTTTATAATTGTTTTATCACCTTCGGGCA